TTGGCTTGGTTTGCTGGTTTTCTGTTTGTTAGCCGCCTTTTGTTTTATCTCCTCCCCCTGAAAAAGCGCCTGCCATTCCACTTTGGGGAAATAAAATGGAAAATCATTAAATACTGATCATATCCATATGTGGCTAGCTACGGCATACAGTCCGAATGTATTGGTAAGTAAACTATAAATCTTGTGGAACCATTTATCGAATATATATTAAATCATAGTTTTTTATATTATTATAGAATATTTTTCTTATTATTTATATTGTTTAGGAACTTAAGGATCTTCCCTTTATTGGCCAGAGAATTTCCGACTCTTTGGGTGAAAATTTAGAGTTTCCACTCTGGTGGGGTCTTCCCCAAAAAGTTTACCAGGCCGATTTCCTCAAAGCACTCACGCACACACCCATGCGGGCACAGGGGGCACACATGTTTGGCGGCTTTTTCGCTTTGACATAATCAAAACCAAACCGAACCGAACCCAGACCCAAACCAAGCGAACAAATGACGCGACGATCCCCAAAAAAAAATACTCGAAAGCGGCAAAGAGCGGCGGTGGCGGCGTCCACTCAAAGCTAATGACCGACAAAGCGTTTTGTATTATTTTCAATTTCATTTTCACTATACACAAACTATTCCCCTGGCCCCCCGAAAGCCCCGAGGCCCCCGATTTTTCACCCTTCCCCCTTGGTGACAACACTTTTCGCTTCGGCCTCGCCACGCTTCGCCTTGCCATGCATTAAATATTATTAAGATAAGGCGGGGGGTTCGCTTATCAATCAGACGTCAGAGGTACCGACCCTCGTATATATAATTTGCAAAGAAGAAGAGCCAACATGGTTCTTCCATCAGAGTTATTGAAACAAACTGGCACCCAAGTTCCCGTAAATATTTGTTCAGAGCTTGTTTTCTTTTACGCCTTTTATAGAAATGGTTTCTGGTTGGGGGAGCAGTTTATATGAATAATCATAATGGATTGGTTAGTTCTTTGATTTTTTTATTCAAATTGTAAAAATTTGTTAGTTAATATTAAAATTAAAAAAACTCTCTTGAAAAACTCTTATGGAATAAAATAATTTATACACTCCCTGCCTCAGCGATTCAGTTGAAGTTATGACCCTCTTATGTAAGCTTAAACTCGGTATTTAGGCTAGAAGTTATGGCCAGATGGGTTAAAGGCAATGTAGGGGTCGTGGTATTTGCTCACTCAGCCCCAGTGCGGCATAATTCCAAGAAGAGGCCCAAGAGCCAATTGCTAAATCAACACAAACAAAAGCCGATGACCAAAACAAAAACCTCAAAAGTCATTACATATATCTTGAATAACCCCAACCCCCGGCCAGCCTGCAGAAATGCAGAAGCTACGAGCTAACAGCTTTTTATCTTTTGGCACAAGGCGGCACAGCATTGTTTTGGTTTGGAAGTCGCCTCCGAAAAACCAGTCCATCGAGCTGGACCAAAACGAAAGACCCATCCGATTCGATCCAAACCGAACCCAACCGAACCGAACCGGCCATATAGGGTCGCTGGCATGTCGAAAGGCAGAGCGGCCACTTCCTGGCTAATATTACGAAAATTGCTTATACCAGGCTATTGCTCCCTGCCCCTCCTCCCCGCCATCTCGCGTTCTGTGGATCAGCCAAAAAGTGCCAAGTCAAAGTTGGTAGTCTCAGCTTGAGCTGGAGATGGAGCCCTCTTCCCGGACCTCGAGGCTGGGTCTTGAGCCCCGGTGCGGTTCGAGCCACGTTGCTTTCGGCCTGTCATGAAGGCAATGCCGACGCGATTCGCCTGTTGCCTTCTACCGTAATTCACAACAACCACAACCATAATAATAACAGCAACAGCACGGCATCGAAGAAAAGCCAAGGCAAAAGTTGTGAAACCCGCACAAGATACAGTGGTTAAACACGAATTACCAAACGGTGGACAGAAAAATAGGTGAAGTATTCAAGATATTTGTAATTTATTAAAAGAGACTAATTTCTAAATGAGTGTTATTGTGAACAAATTATATTTTAACTACTATTTATTTTAAAACAGTGAGCTAGCTTAATTTATCTGTAATGCAAAGAAGAAAAGAGACTTTCTACAGAAAGCTATAAGAACTTATTTAGGACTTTAATTGTCGAACAGTAAGATAATGTTAGATAAAGCATTAAGTATAGCATTTAAGTATTTAACAACTAATACTACTAAATTAATGCATATACAATTTTTGTTTATATTCCGATTGTTATTGTACGATTGTATCTACAATAAGAACATATTTAGAAGGCATAAATACGAATATAGGAATAAATTAATAATGATTACACCTCATATTTAAAACATGTATATTCAATCTGTGTTAGTATGTTTAAAATCCATTTTTACAAGGTGTCTATTAAATCGCATTTAATCTGCTTAAAATCTCTCGAGACTCAATAACGTCCCAGTTCAGGTTTCATATTTTCCCTGCCCGTAAGTACCTCCGATAATCCCCACTCAAACACACATTTTCGAACCACTGTGGACGGCCTCTGGTGCCGCGCCTCAAAGCAAAAAGCGCATCTTTTGAACAGAGCGCAAAGCGCAGCTTGGCAGTCGCAGCATCGGCGCGGTGTGTATCTCAAAGATACAAACAGAGTGCGCTCGTTGGATCGCTGGATCGCCGTTCCTCAGTCCGTCCGCTGTCCGTCTGTCTTTCAGTCCGTCCGTCTGTCGATCGTCGTTTGGTCTCTAAACCGCTTTTGTGTAGCCGCTGCCGAGATGTTTGGCATAGTTGGCCTGGCCGCGGAACTGGTTGGATGTGGATGTATCTTCGAGATGGAGTTGGGGAGTTTCTCAGTTTTGGATGGAGATGGAGTTGGGGGTTCGGGGTTGGGGAGCTTGCAACGACTCTGCCGCCTGCCGCTCAGTTATTATTATTTTTGCTTGCGGCGGCGGCTCGACGACTTGCTGCCGCTGATGCCCGTTGTTATTGTTGTTGTTTTATCAACGTGAGGGTTTTAAAAGGTTTTTGTGTATGAGTCGGTATGGTATCGGTCTTGGCCTCGTAGCAGCTGCTGCTCTCTACACGGGAAATAATTATGTTTAGGTTTTGGAATATATAATGGTGAAAATCTACTCTAATATACACTTTTTGATTTAAACAAACTAAACATTAACTAATTTTTTTTTTTAAAAAGATGCCATATAATAAATTATAATAATTTCGTAATGGATTTAAAACTAAAACAGTACTGTTTTAGAGTTGCTAAATTTGAAGTATACAATTGTTTTTGAATTATTATTATTATATTAATAAAGCAAGATTATACATATCTTAAAATCTTACAAAAAAAAAACTTATAAAAGACCATAGACACCACCTCAAACTTAGGAGGTTACGTTAAAATTGCACAACTAGTCATATATGTAGGCCTGATCTAATTTTTCTCCGTGCACTCCATCAGCAACGGGCAAACTCCACCTCCATCGCGGCACCGACTTGCCTTCGGTTTTACCTGCAACAGGTAAGAAATGTTCGTACGTTGTATTTAAACGGCGTCGGCATTTCAATTCGCTTTATTTTCATTTTTTGTTCCACTCTCTTCCCGTTTGTTGTTGTGTAGTATTTTCGAGGCAGCTTTCTTTGAAGTTGCATACTTCGGTGTGCCTTTGGAGGTTTCCTTTGAATTCCCCCTGCATCTGCCAGCAATTAGTGTACGGGGCTTGTCGTCCTGCAAAGGCTTCAAAGTGTTGGCCTGGCATTTAATTGGCGCAGACCAATTGCCAGCCGAAGAAGAAATCTCTCTCTGGGGCTTCAAAACAAAAACCGGATAAAAAGAAAAAAAAACAGACTCGAGAAAAATAAAGAAGGAGGAAGGGGGCCCCAGAATATTTCCAATGAATTTGTGGACAGAACAGAAGAAAAAACCCAAAGGAACATTGATTGATTGATGTTCCTTCAGCGATTCGGACATCAACGTCGCTCGTTTGGCAGAAAGGTCGCCCCGTCCGATATTCCATTTCCAATTCCAATTCCGATCCCACTTTGAAAACGGAATCGGAATCGCGGCCTCTTGTTTATTTACGTTCATGATATGTGCTACCCATGACTAAGGAGGCGATCTCTAAGCAGCAGCAGGAGCCACAGCGAAGCGTTCTATTGATCGCGATCCCTTCGCTTCGCTTCGCATCGATCTGTTTCCAAAAAATTCTATTCTATTTATTTTCCATGGGTCGCTTTTCCTTTTGATGTGCTCTGCCGTTGTGTTTTTTCTTTTTTCTTCAGCACCATGCCCGATTTTTCGTTCTATTTTTGTGTGTCGTTTCCCTACCACTTCCCTACCATTCTCCTCCCCATTTCCAAAGACCACAAGCGAACGGCTGTGTATTTTCTAGATAAAAATGCAGCCGGGGGATTGCCTACATTTTATTTTCAACTTTTAGTTGTTCGCCGTAATTATTGGAAAAGGATGTGGGAGAAGCCCTTGACTCAATGAATTCTGAATAGTAGGTATGCGAGGGTATGGCTGTGTGTAAGCGAGTGAACAATTGTTAGGGAGAAGGTAATATTTTAGATCTTCGGCCCAGATAGTTGTATGTTAATGGGAATGGCCTTCGATAAGGGGCAGCAGAAGAACGAATAAAGAAAACAATCTGCACGGATTAATGGGCTTGGTTTTGGGTGAATAGTTCGAGGGGATTATAATAATAGTTATTTTTAGTAAAAAACTCTGAGCAGTAAGTACAAATATTAAATATAGAAGTATTTCCAAAACTCTGACTCATTGAATCCCCTTTTAAACCATATCTCAACATCACACTGTTATTAATACCCCATATTTAAGAGAACCCCTGACGCACTTAATCTTTAAATTTAATTTACTCGGGCATAGCAAACAAATTGTTTCCTTGAATGCTATCGCCCGTCCCCCGAACTTTTGGCACTCCCCGAGAGCATTAACATCCATCTTTTCCATATCTGCTGCCAACTATCTGGAAATTCACTAAACAAGTTGAGGACGCTTGGCTTTCGCTTACCTGAGAATTGTTTGTAGCCGCCGAGAATTTTATGCTTCCACCATTTGACAATGTTGCCCGCCATCTCTGCCCGAATATATATATGTACGTTTCTATATATAAGTTGGTTGAGGATGCAGTTACTTGGCGGTGTCTTGGATTTTTCGGTGTTTTTATTTTTTTCCGGGTGGTGGTTGGTGGTTGGGTTGGAAATTTACGAGTCCTGGGAGGAGGAGACCTGCAGCAGCAGCAGCCCAAAATGTTTTACGGCCTTTGTGTGTGCGTTCTGCGCTCCCTGGCTGGCTATCCTTTTGTGTAAGGATCTAAGGACTGAGACTAATATACTCCAGGTAGAGAACAACCTCCACTTCCACTTCCAGTTCCAAATCCACCGTGTTTATGCGCTGCCGCTGGGCGACCTTAATTTGTATCTGGTATTATTTTCGACTGTGCGGGTGGCAAAGTTACCAGTCGTAGTCGTAAAAGTTTTTACAGCTCTGATGTGCTGCATTTTAGTTTAATTTGCGCATATTGCGCTGCTTTATTTGATCTACGTGTGTGTATCTTGCAGATACTCGTACTCGCACTCGTATTTGTACCTTTGTGCCCGCTGCGCGCGTAATTTTAATTGTAAAACATTTTCGCCGACTCGATTTGTTTTTCGCCAGCCGCTTTGTTGTTATTTTTTGCTTTGCGACGACGACGTAAATAACTTGGCGTATAAACAACAAAAAACAACAAATGCAAAAAGGCAAAAGCACGATTTATTTCCAAACGATTGCGACGATGGCGACTGCGACGTCGATTTTCGGGGGGTGGCGTACCGGTTGTTTTTATTATTGTTGCGGGGGCGGTTTTTCGTTTTTGGTTTTTGGTTTTTACACTTGATTTTTCTCTCGGGCTGGAAAATGAAAACTTCACAGTGCGTATCTCGCAGATATATTTATTCATTCATTCGATCAACTTCCAATTTTGATGATAACTTCACTGGGCCACAAACAATCCGTTCGGTCAGTAGTTGTTTTGGTGGGCCAAACTACGCGTATCTTCCAGATACTTTCCGCTGTATCTCGGAGTCTCAGTTCACACGACTATTCGAATAAACGGACGAAAACAATCTGAATCTGAACACCCCGAGACATTCGAGAATCGCCGACACAGTGGTTGGGTGTTCGAAATTCGAGTGGCTCTCTTTCGAACTCTCTTTCGCTGTGCTCTCTTGTCTCGAAATTCGAAAATGAAAATATATGGTAAATACGATTTTTCTCTCACTGTGGCTTCGCTTAAAGATGCAAAGAGACAGACAACAAAAACAACCCAGTGTGTTTCATGTCGTTTTGTTTACTTAAGAGCATTTTCGAGAGTAATTTCGCGCTCTTTGGGGCTGTGGCAGTTTTCGAAAAAATGAACTAAGGGTATGATGGAACTTCCAGATCACTCGCGCTTATAAATATTTTATTTTGTTAATTTTGTTAAATAAAAAAAATTTCTGACCTTTAATTTTAAAGTTTAATCTTTTCTTTTAAATATTTTCCATATTAATGAAATATTAATTTTTATTTATTAAATTATGTATTAGGTATATTTTAAAAACTATATTTGATAAATAATATATTAAACATTTTGGTAAGACATAATAATGGAACACAAAAATTGGGGTTTTATTTTACAATAAATTGAAATATGATGTACTTTTTAAAGATTTATTAATGAAATATTATTTTAGAAACCTGTTATATGCAAATAATGCTAAAAAAAAATGCAATCTCCAGATTTCTATTAACGATTGTTAGGTTTTTTCCTGTGGTTTTCAAATCTGAATATGAAATGTTGAGAATGCAATTTTCCTATTCTATGCAGAATGTTCTTGGGTATTACGTACAAAAAAGCAATTATGCGAGCAACATCTTCAATTGCAGCATTGGCCACGCCTTTAATTCATAGCTTTCTTTTTGCCTTACACCTTTCCAGTTTCATTTCGACTGGTTGTTGCTCTCTCGACCATCAATTTTTGATTATACACATGTTTGGATAATACCCGGTTTTAATTTGGCTCTATGCATAGCGGCGGCAGAAAAAAATTTTGATTGTTTTTAAATTTGATCCCGACCGCTGCCCCTTCCAGTTTTTGCTTCGCAGAAGAAGCCGCCTGCTGAGCTTGAACATCAGGGCAATTACCTACCAGCAACCAAAAAAAAAGAAACCCCAAACCCAAACTCAAAACCCGCCGATAATAACAGAGCAAGGAGAATCCTGAATTACGCTGCAAAGAGCAGGCAAGGCAAAAAAGAAGACAAAAAACGCAAAGCTCTTTCTTTCTTCGGCGATCGAAAGCAAGTGGAAGGAACCCGCGGAGATCGTCTTTTCTTTAACCCACTATTATCGAAAGGGGTCATATGGAATCAATAGAATAATGCGCGAATTATTATTGAATAATTTAATAATTAAGTTCTTTAAAATCATTAAGCTTAACTAAGGCTGAAATAAATTAATTAGGGATTAAAAAACAATATTTTTGTTTTATATTCAAAATTGGAATTCTAAAAAAAAGTATCTGAAATTTATATTCATATGAGAATATTGTAAATAAAATGTTTAAAATATGATCGACAAGGATAATGTAATTTACATGTACATTTCAGATATTTATATTGAAATGAATTTATTTAAAAAAATTTTTAGGCAGTCAGTCTGAGTTGAATTAGGGTTAACTTGGCCCTCGGGGGTCCGCAGGCTTTCGCACCGTAAAACGTTTTCGGCTTTCGGTATAATGGCGCTGTAATTGAAGAAGAACACGCGATCGAAAAGAGAGGAAGGGGCTGGGAACGGGGGGTCTACAAAGGCGGCAGAGGGAACCTCCTTCTAACAGAAGGGTTTCGGTTCTGGGTCTCTTCCTCTTTTGTCTGACCCTCTTTTGTGCTGCCTTCGTCATACATTGATCCATCGTCTTAATTTCAGGACGCTGCGTCTCCTTCGCTGCCTTTATTTTGGATGCGGGCCCCTGATTGATGTCGGGGATCTGTCCGCCCTGCAGCCGATATTGATTTATGTTTTCTCCGGTTTCGCATCCCAACCTCTGCACTTTGTCCTGCCGAATTTCGCACAACATTTTGCAGCTTTGCGTTTGACAAAAGTCGATGTACAGGCTGGCTGCAAATGAAATTACCCAAAAACGAGTGGAACATGTCTGGCGGCTCTGCTTTTTGGTGGGCGGCGGTCGGTCATATGTGACCGGCTTTATATAGGGCTTTTGACATTTGCTCCGACGATGACAGAGTGACGGCCATGGCAACTGTCACTGTAATTGACAGGGAAGCAGTATTGGATTCGCTCTGTGTCATTTTCCCTCGCCTTTTCCCCAGCTTTCCCCCGCTCCTCCACAGAAATGTCCCTATCTTCACACATATTGGCAATGCTGATGAGTTTTTGAAGGGTTAGACGAGTTTAATCGAGCTTTATGTGGCGTGTGTGTTTGCATTAGGGACTTGATTAGGTTAGGGGACCATTTTAGCTACAGGAGATAACAAAATTGGCTTGCCTCTAAGACTATTTAAGGCAAGATATTAATCGAAAACTTTTCCGAGTCTCTATTTATTTAATTAAACTGCAGTAATTTAAAAGAGAAGCACAGAAGTTTTTATTAAAATTGGTTTCCTATACCGAAAATCAGTATCAACATGTTCTATCGTAATTGAAAGACGTAATAATAATCATTAAGGAAGTTGTAAATCGTTTCCAGAAATAATCCTAAAATAAAATATTATTGTTTCCCTTCAAAACACAATATTCATTAATCGTAAATGCTTTTATTTTAATTCTGAGAATCAAGCAAAAAACTTTATAAAATTTACGAATAATGCGCAGCAATTGATTATTTTTTTTTGTTCAGATACCATTAAACGCTCAACAACTACAAAGCGATGATACGCTTCCAATTCCCCAAATATTTTCAGTAAATTATGGGGCGAACATACATTAGATAAGCAGATATATTTCCTAACTTGCGTCACATTCCAAGAGGCGCTAGATCTCATTATAAAATATATGTTTTCACCGATCAGCTCGGCGAAGAGTTTCAAAATAATTTTTTTAAAGTCGTAAATACAAAAAATATCAAATAAAAATCATATGTGTATTGGGAGGGTCGTGTACATCGTGAAACTATTAAATAAATTAACTTTGTTGTAAGTGCTGGTCATAAATATTTATATTTTATAGTATGTCTGTCGTAAAATTCAAATGAAGTTGTCCCCCTGATGATGGTCGATGTGTGGGACGCGTTTATAAACAAATTTCAAAAGCAATTATGAATTGTAGTTTTTGGCATTCGTCGTCTGACTGACAGGAAATTATATTGTAAGGCCATAAAACTGGCAGGGCCGGAGAACCAAATGAGCCCCCGAAGAGATCTTCAGTCCCTTGGTAACATGTGCAACAGGCCTTTTGAAGTCCCCACCTCTCTGCGCTCAAATGACTTTTACCCAGAAGTCGTTAAAAAACGACGAAAATTTCCAATTAATTTTGATAAACGCGGGCCCACATCGAAAAAATAAAAGATGCATATTGGTTTGGGGCCAGAGCAAAATTTGTTGGCTGCCCCAAAGCGGAAATTGTAACTGTGCATTGATTGGAACAGGGAAAGGGGAAAAGGGGATAGGCAGTGCAACCAATTGTTGCTTATTAGGCCGAAATCATTAAAAATCTATCCAAGCAACAACAGCGACGAAGCAACAAATTTTCGTCTACGAAATGAAGCCATTTCAATCAGCCGTTTTATGAGTGTTTTTGGGCGCTTTTTGCCCGCCTGTTTCGACTGGATTTTTACGATTTTACATTTACAAGAGTCCGTCGTCCATCGATGTCCATCAAACGATTAGGCCCGGCATATATATATATAGAGAGTGTGTCTGTTGTATCGGGTCTTTGGTTTCTGTGGGACTTAATGACCAGATTAATGATGACAAAAACATGATGGGAAGCGATAGATTAAATGGGAGCTATAAAAGCGATTTAAGTGTGGGGGAGTGGGTGGGGATTTGTTAGTTTTAAGGAATTCTTCTAAAGAAAGAAGCAACTTTGAAGCATCTTCATATATCTAAAATATCTTTAGAATAATATCTTTAAATATATTTCCAAGAAATTCATCTAAAACATTTAGAGTTGAAGAGTTGGTAAGTAACTAACAAAAAATTAAACATAACACAATTTTCCGTGAAAAGTTGGACCAATAATTTTCCTGAAATTGTTTAAAGACGCTCTTGTATTACCTACAGAACACTTGCGTAATAACAACAATTTCATAGAGTTTATTCCGAAAAAAGAGGCTTAAAAAAGTAATTACTAAAATCAATTACCTACAATCGCGCCCCCAAAACTTGGTTAACCTTTTACAAACATTTAGCAAAATAAATAATCAAATTGCAACACAGAAATCTAAAATTGCCGCCAAGCTCAAGTGTAAATCTTGGTCGCACCGCAGGCAAAGAAATAATAATTTATGCATTTTCATTTATTTTTCAACACGCTTTTGACCAAAATAAAGTTTTCCATTTGTCTGGGCTCCACTCGTACATTACAGACAGCTGGCATGGAGGGGCTTTACTTTTGGGGCGAAGCGAAAAATAAAAACCATTTTTTAAAGTGCTGCCCAGAAACAGCATCTAGTACCCTACCCCCGACTCCCCCAACACCATGATCGTATCTTGCATTATCTACGCTGCCGTATCTGATAATGATCAACTGCTGGCCGACGCCTCAGATGCCGCCTTTTTTCTTTACATATATTTTTTCCTTTATTTCGTGTTTTTTCTTCTTTTTGGTTGCCTTTTAATTAAACGCTCAAGCCGCAAGCGGAGCTCAAGTCGCTGGCGGAGTCGTGCATCGGCGGCTGCCCCTTTGAGAGAACCCTCCGATCTTATAGAGGTTGCCGCCTCATTCAGTCATTCATGCCGTCATTGCTTCATTATCCATGCGCACATCACTCAACGAACACTCTGCATGTACTCGCTTTATATATATGCACTCATTCCCATCCAAGAACCCGGTTCCATTTCCAGACAGAGGCCCATTCAAGTAAAATCCATATTCATCAGCCGATCCATTCGCTTGTCTCTCCCCAGCTCAAATCGAATTACGGCCGCATTTCATGTGCTCTCAAAGTTTTATATGTCGCATATCTTTCGAAATGTATTATTTTCAAACACAAAATTTTAAATGAAAAATGTAGATCTGTACGATTTGTTATTAAAAATTGATTTGCAGGGCTGAGAAAAAAAATATAAATGGATCACACTGTATCGGTGGAGTCAAAAAAATTGTATACAACCAAAATCGTTAAAAAAAAGTATTGGTTCCTTTATTTTTAACGACACATTTTGTTAGTCCTTCTCAAGGTATTCATTTGAACAAGTCACATTGGGAGTCAAACCATCCAAGTTTTCAATTCGACCAACTGCATATATAATATCTGTATCCTTAATGACAAAGACAAAAAAACGATTTACTTCGAATTTTTCATTATGTCGGGTATTAATATCATTCACTTGATCTGAGGGAATAAATAATAAATGTTAAATAGGATAATACAAAAATATTTGACTTACTTAGAAGTTTATTGGGGCCGAATTGGACCACCGTTTTGAGCAGGAATTCGTCAATTTGTATGTTGGAGCAAACTTAGACTTTCCAAACAAGCCAGCTATGTCTACATTATTCAAAATTCTACTTATATCCTGTTCAAATTTCACCTCGAAAATGGGCAGTAATAAATGAATTTTCCTGGGATCACTCAATTCAGCATTGATCTGGGTGTTTAAGTTATTCAAGACATCCTGGCAGGTAACGCCCTTTCTCGGCAGAAGAACCAAAACGCCCATGCCTGCGGTTATGACTGGGATGAATATACCTCTAGCCTCGTCGGTGGCCATTGTTTCAAGTAGGGACAAAGAGTCCATCATGGGAACACATAATGGTCCTTTCAAATGACCTGTACCGTATTTCTTGACAAAATATCTGTTAAACTGAGATTCAAACCGAACACTCCAACGGGGATAAACTGACATTCCAATGATCGCCACTATTTTGTTTACATTTTTTGTCTTCTTAAGCTAGAATTGGCTAGAGCCGCATCCAGTTTTTCCGACAGCCATTTGTCTATAGTTTTTGAGACTTTTATATCTTTGGCTACTTTTTAGCGCTCGACATCAGCAGGTCGGATACCAGATTCAACTTCTTTGACAGGGGTTGCTCCTGAGGCACCGCCACTTTATTGGCCATCTCAAATTTGGCCCCCGAGGCTTTCTTGTATTTCATTCCCCATCTTTGTATTTCCTTGTTTGCCTCGGAGGATCCTCTTTCTATAATCACATCTCTCTCTAAATCAATATTATTCTCAATCTTTTTGCTGGCAAAGATCTCAAATTAAATGACATAGTTTTCTTTTGTGTGACGATCGATTTCCCTAACCTGTTGAGCAGAAAAGTTTTGCTGCAAAGTATTGTGAAAAGTAAGCAGAAGGCACAGCGACTTTAGAGTTAATTCAAGGCAGGCCATTTTACAGAAACTGAATAAAATCTTAGGTTTTGTTATATTTAAGAGCTTGAATAGGAAATAGAACGAATTAGATTTAATACAGATATATTTTAAAATGTGTATCATTGAAACGAATTTAATTCAAAATAAATAAATTCAAAATAAATATGGCAATATTTTATAAATGGATAAAAGAAACAAGCAGTTGAGAACTTTATTTTTAAACAAGTACTTGTCTATAGCTTACAAAAAACCAAATTATAACCAGTCAAACAGTTCAAAACATCAACAGGGCTGAATCATTTCCAAATGTAAATAATTTTCTCAGTTAGTGTTTGGTTTTAATTAAATTCTCATGTTGGTCTGGGGGCTCCAACTGCTCTAAATCTTAGACACGCACTTCCAGTCCCCAACCGAATGTGTTATCCACCCACCCTGCGTTCCACTAATATGTTAATAGCTTTATGCGTCACTTGCATCCTGGCGCACTGCAATCCGCCTCCACATTTTCCCGTCTGCGTGGGCGTCTTTTCCTCCAACTCCAGGCTGCCAGTTGTCTGACTTCCTCCATGGACAATATGGTCGCTGCCTGGTGGGTGCCTTGCGGTTTTCTGATTTATAACACTGTTTACACGCCCTGCCAAAAAGTTTGATTTACTGGCCATTGGACTGGCGTCTACACGTGTGCCCATTCGATTGCCATAACTCATACGACACGTTGGTCATATCTACCGAGGAAAGGACTCACGCATGCGCAGATGGAATTTTGTCTACTTGAGGATAATAGTAATTAATTGCCCAGGGGATTACTATTTGAAAGAAATGTCTTACTTATTTTTCAACAATATCCGTCATAACTTGTGCTATGCCCTGCCACTTGGGATTGCCAGCAATCACTTGGAACATATACGATCCGGTTGGAAAAGGGGTCTTCTCCAGCATTGTATCACTCAAAACCATCTTTGTTACAACCAGGTCATGCTGGAAAAAATGCAAATTTAGTTTATATTTTTAAAAATGCCATAATTGATAAGCACATTATACGGGCAGCTGTGATTCACATTTGTAAAATTGATAATCGCATCGTGGCCTATGCCAAACCAAGGAAATCGTTTTTTATTTCGCATGAAATCACAGAAATCCACGGTGACATTGTACATAAAAGGCCGATAACCACTAAACTTTCTAAATAGACTAAAGTTAACCTGAAAATAATCAAATATTAATGTTATTACTTATATCATCAACAATAACAATCTTACAAGAACTTTTTTAATTGGGAGCTGATGAATTTTGGTGTAAACAAATATGGCAACTTTTCCTCTACCCAATACTTTTAGTTCGCACTGCGGAAAATCGCAAAAGGTTTTATCGTAACACTTGCATTTTATATTAGTCACTTTGAAGAGCGAGTTCGAACTTTTAATCAAATACAAAACCATTACAAATAGAACTTTTTTAGCGACCATTCCGAATGTTCTCTTCATCTTATAAAATGTTTTTGAAAATGAAACCTATGTAATGTTTCGACTTTTTGTTGGGCTCAATTTACTGAGCAAATCGATAATAAATGCAAATTTAATTTGTAAATTATTTATTTCCTGACTTAGCTCCCAATCAAAACATAATTATACTTGTGTTTACCAATTTCGTGAATTGCACATCAGCGTTTTATTTTAATGGCCGGTAAAAATAGTTTTTATTTAAGTAAAACGAGTTATTTGTTTCTGAGTAATCCGAGGTGTTGAATTTTTTTTTTATTTTTGTTCCTTTTTTTCATTATTATTTTTCAACAATATCCGTCATAACTTGTGTTATGCCCTGCCACTTGGGATTGCCAGCAATCAATTGGAACATATACGATCCGGTTGGAAAAGGGGTCTTCTCTAGCATTAGATCGCTTAAAATCATCTTCGATACAATAAGGTCATGCTGGAAATAGAAAAGTTCATATTTAATTGAAATTTAAGAAAAGAACAATAAATGATAAGCACATTATACGGGCAACTGTGATTCACATTTGTAAAATTGAGCATCGTATCGTGGACTATGCCAAACCAAGGAAATCGTTTTGGGTTTCGGATGTAATCACAGAAATCCACGGTGACGTTGTACATAAAAGGACGATATCCACTAAACTTTCTGAATAAGCTCAAATTTACCTGAAAATAACCAAATATTATTGATATTATTTTCATCATTAAAAAAAATAAAAAAGAAAACAACTTACGAGCACTTTTTTTATAGGTAGCTGATAAATCTTGGTGTTAATAAATATGCCAACCTTTCCACGACCCAATACCTTTAATTCGCACTGAGGAAAGTCACAAAAGGTCTTATTGTAGCACTTGCATTTTATATTAGTCACTTTAAAGAGCGTATCCGAACTTTTAATAAAATATAAAACAATTATTAATATGACTGGATTTCTGACAATTTCGAAAGCTGTCTTCATTTCAGAATGTTTTTTACAAATGAAACTCATGTAAAATTTCGACGCTTTCGTATCATTTGTTTACTTTTTCGTACGCAATTTACTGAGCAAATCGATAATAAATGTAAATTTGATTGATAAATAATTAATTTCCAGATTTTACTCCCAATCAAAACATAATCATGGTAATTACACTTGTATTTACAAATGTCTTATATCTCACATCGGCCATTTTTTCATGGCCAATAATTTTGTTTAGTTTAGTTTAATCTAAGGTGTTGAAAACACGAAGTTTTTATATTTTTACCTTTAAATGCTTGTTTCATTTATATATTTATTTGATGCAATATTAGTAATAAACGTACCGTTTCTTTCTCGAAGTTTCTTTAGGCTATCCCACTACATTTATCTCAAATTTATCAAAGCTGTGCCGCTCCTTTTCCCTCCGAATACCCATGCATTTCCCATATGACTAACTGTTCACGCTGCATCCACGATGATGATGATGAAGTTGATGCTTGATTAGCTGGACAGAGCCGATCCTCCATCTCCAGGTACTCCTCCCAATTTTTTCCGCCCCTCCGCCTGCATGAGCGCATGTTCATTTTAGCCAGGCCCGCAGGCGGCCACCTCACACATTCGCCCATCACACACCTTTTGATGTTGCGCCGACATCTCAGCCGAGAGTCGAATCTCTCCGGACAGTTCAGCCACGTCGAAAGCCACCCGTGCGAAAAAATGAGATATAACATCTTTGAAAGAACTTCAATATGCGAAGTTTAAATATACCCTTGCATTCTTAATCTTTAAATGATATAAATTTTAAAATATGACTAAAAATAAATTCTTATTTTAAAACATTTAACACTAATATTATTGTTGCTCCGCATTTATAAAGAAATAAAATTAGTTTATGGTGGAAAACATTTAAGTAGCCCAGACTACATTTTAAATCATTGATTAATAAAAAAAATATTATTAAATATTATAAAATAAAAAAATAATAACACTATAAGGGAAAGGGTATACAAAGATAAAACCCGACCCCAACCACAGCAAAACGGTGCTGTCGGATCACCGCTCTTATCAACTTGTCCAAAAGCTTTTGCGCTCGTTCAAATAAATTTGAAGCGGTTGGCATCGGCATCTCGAACGACTTCAAACCGGGTACACCAGTGCCGACGATTTGTCCTTTTTCTGGTTACAACTATCCTTCAAAAATTCTTATCAAAACCCTGAGTGGAACTCCCTTTTTTAATTTTTACAGCTTAAAGCGTCGGTATTCAAAAAAAACGGTATACCGAAAAGCGGTATAAAGTTTATATACGGATTTTCTTTAGGTCTGAATTTCAGGACTCACACCTACAGAAAATTCTCTTGACTAAAATGTATAATATCATTCAGAGTTGTATCAAATGCAATAAAATATTTTAAACTGGTATTTAATATACAAATTTAACGCAGGCACAAAAATTAAAATTGAATCAAAAATCAAAATTAAATTAAAAATTACAAATGTTTAATCTTTTTCAGCCGCTTAGTTTAGTATTTGGTTTTTCAATGGGCAGCACTGGAAACCACACACATCGGGCCTCTGCGCATGCGCGGCAGATTCGATGGTGGGCTGCTGTCGGCCAACTGACACATAGAGGGCGATATTGCCGCCCCTCCGCCGAGCAACTCTCTCAGCTTTTTTTGCTTCTCGGCCAGCTGTTGTCGGCTTTTTGCCGGTCTGTTGCTTCGACTTTGTTCTTTGCCGGCAGCGTTTAATGGTTGATTTTGCTCACTCGATTTTCGATTTTTTTGCGCCGCATTTCGGTGTTTCGTTTTGTAGTTTGCGGTGGTTTTTGCTGCCTTTTTATTAAATTATTATTTACTTTTATTACAAAGCGCGACGGCGGCATGGCAAATTGATGCGATATTTCAATTTGCGACGGCCACAAAGCCAATGATTGTGTGTGGAAATAAATATATCAATGGGGCCGCTGCTGCGCCTACACTTGAACTTCAAAGCGCTTTCCCAACCCTTTTGCTAATAAAATTTCTTCGCTACCAAAAATAAAACTTACTCACACCGTGGCGGACCCATGGAAATGCTCGACTTCAAAGCGAATTCGAGGGCGCTGGCCAGGGGGAAGTCTCTCGCATAAACAAAAGGCAATTGAAATGGTTCTAAAAGAGATTTTGCTTTTTGTATATTTGCTGCTACTTAAGTTGGTAGACCCGCCACCCAGCCACCCGGCCACCTCTTGGCACCCGCACCCCTTCCTGGCGATTTGTTTTGCCCGTCACTTTTTAATTGTTGTCAACCCACACAAGAGAACAAGAGCGGCAGAGCTAAGCAGAAACAGAGGCATACACTGGGAGGTAAATCTATAGTATAGTTTATCTAAAAAATAAATACATTTGTAAATCGGTCGAGCATGATATTCTTAGTGGCGATGTCATTATGGGCAATTGACACTTCAATTTCCGATTATGAAATCGTTTATTATAATATTTTAAATTTGCCATATATTTCAAATTAAAACCAAGAAATTAAAATACTTTTTAGTTATATTTTTAATGCATTTTAGGAAAATATATATTATATCAAATTATTTGTTTTTTTTTCTTTATTAAAAAACCGTTTATTTACTTTGGCATGATTCCAAAAAAGATTTTCCTATTTATTTATTATTTATTTTTTATTACAAAACCATTTCAACAAAAATATCTCATAAAGATTAATTAAAGGAAGTGAATAAGAATTTCTTATATTATAATGTTTGATCACCAAATGAAAATTATATTCAATTCCGTATCTGAATTTTTGTTACAGTGCACAGATGGAGCATTGGACATGGAGCAGGCCGCACCCAAGTCGGGCACATGAAAAAGACATCAAAGCAAATCTTGACAAGCGTACAGTGGCTCACAGCTTATTTCAACCAGTCTACACCAAAAACTTTAACAGCCCATAAAAACTAAACAAAACATGTTATCAAAATAATTTAAACGCAGAATACATCAATGAGGATACACATTATTGTATAATAATTTTATGATTTTTTAAATATTTTACAAATATTTTTTATGAATTAATTACAAAAAAGCCCAAAAAAAAGGCCACAGCTTATTTCAACCAGTTAACAAAAAAATCGAATAAATTAACATAGTGGCCAAAACCTATTTTTTTTTTTAATTTGGCATGACTACCCTTTTGTTTAACAACAATTTAAAGTTAACTTTATATGGAAACAATGCCTTTTGTTGTTATTGCCAAGTAAAAACTACTCCCGACCCTTGGGAAGGACTTTTGGCATAGTTTCGTCTAAAAATATTGTGTTTTCTAACATTTTTTCGTTAAGTGGACTTCCAATATTGTTTTGTGGTAATGTTAAGACACATTTAATTCATAATCATTAGCTTTCGACAGCTCTGGATGAGCTGAATCTGCGAAAAAATATGCACTTCCCATGGGTAATTTCTTTAGTTAAATCAAAAATTAATTTATATTTCAAAATCCTTTCAGTTTTTAATTCATTTATCCTTTTGAATGTGAAGATGAACTCAAATCTTAATCGCGGAGTAAAAAAAAAAATTATGGAAGGACCTGTTTGACACTTATAGGCCCAAAACAATTAGCGTTCGCCGTTAGACTTTAAAATAGCAATTTGACTTCCCAATTTACGCTCGTCATTGGGATTTTCTCCGCTTAGATATATTTTTCCGACTCAAATGTATCAAAATTCAAGTATTTCTTTCAAATACATTTTTTCAAACATACTAAGGACACTAATAAGTGAGTTTCTCGTGTGTATCCAAATGAGCCCTAAGCCTAGCGGCGAACGCTAATTGTTTTGGGCCTATAAGTGTCAAACAGGTCCTTCCATAATTTTTTTTTTTACTCCGCGATTAAGATTTGAGTTCATCTTCACATTCAAAAGGATAAATGAATTAAAAACTGAAAGGATTTTGAAATATAAATTAATTTTTGATTTAACTAAAGAAATTACCCATGGGAAGTGCATATTTTTTCGCAGATTCAGCTCATCCAGAGCTGTCGAAAGCTAATGATTATGAATTAAATGTGTCTTAACATTACCACAAAACAATATTGGAAGTCCACTTAACAAAAAAATGTTAGAAAACACAATATTTTTAGACGAAACTATGCCAAAAGTCCTTCCCAAGGGTCGGGAGTAGTTTTTACTTGGCAACAACAACAAAAGGCATTGTTTCCATATAAAGTTAACTTTAAATTGTTGTTAAACAAAAGGGTAGTCATGCCAAATTAAAAAAAAAATAGGTTTTGGCCACTATGTTAATTTATTCGATTTTTTTGTTAACTGGTTGAAATAAGCTGTGGCCTTTTTTTGGGCTTTTTTTGTAATTAATTCATAAAAAATATTTGTAAAATATTTAAAAAATCATAAAATTATTATACACTAATGTGTATCCTCATAGATATATTCTGCGTTCAAATTATTTTGATAACATGTTTTGTTTAGTTTGTATGGGCTGTTAAAGTTTTTGGTGTAGACTGGTTGAAATAAGCTGTGAGCCACTGTATATGCCTCTTATCTGCATCGAGCCAAGCGGAGGGAGTGAGCGAGAGGGGTGGGAAGTGGAAGCAGGACGGGAATACAGCCAGGACAGTACTGAGGACCGATGCAAAAGGAACACACACGCAGACATACTGAAACATCCACAGGAAGTGCCTTCCGCTCTACTCTGTTTCTGGTCTACTCCTTATGGGATACATTTCCTGCTGTTCCCGCCCCCTCTGTGCCACGCCTCCCAACCGCCCCTTAACGCACACAAACACACCCACAAACAACTTTTAACCGTGTTCGAATGCATTTTAAAGTTGCCAACAAAAGCAACAACAGTCATAACCGTGACAGCCACAATAAAGTTATGCCAAAAAATAGTCATGTGGCAAAAGAAAGGGTTTTTTGGTCAGCAAAATTGGACTTTTGGTACTCAAATAAGGGACATAAGGAGACTTGTTGGAAAGTTTGGGAATTTGGCAAACACACTTGTTTCAAGTCGGTAGGGAGTCATAAAAGTGAGTACGTAACTGAGTGCATCAACGTATGTGTTTTAATTATGCATTACCATTGCAAGGATATGTGACACTTTAATATTTTATTTAACATGATTTAAGAACCATTTCCTGTATATTTCTTCTTGAATATGTTATATACATCTGTTTACAACTAATTAGCACCAATAGTATTCTAGAGTTTATTTAAAAAATATTTAAAAAAGAATGCTCATGTTTGCATTTATTATAGAAATAAAAGTAAATGTTATAAAAGCAACAATTTGAATTTCCGACCCCATAAAGTATATATCACTAGCAGAGTCGATCTAGCCATATCCGTCTGTCTGTCCGTATGAACGCTGAGATCTCGTAAATTACAAAAGATAGAATGTTGAGATTTCTTCTTCTTTGCTTCTTACGCAGCGCCAGTTTATGTCAGCCGAGCTCCACGCCCCCTCTAACGCCCACAATCGCCCATATTGATTTTATGTGTCTAGCGCCCATACCTTTAAAGATTTCCGAGAAGTATAAATGCAATTTTGTTGTGTATATTTATACCTATCAAAGTGTAGAAGACATTTTTCAAATCGGATCATTAATTAAAAAGTTATGAGCAATCAAAAAAAGGTTAGATATCCATCTCCCTCGCACTCCCTTTAGCCGAGTATTATTTTTTTACAATTTTTATTTTAAAAAAACCCGTCTTAAAAAAACTGTAAG